TCATTTTTTTTTTAAACTTTTGAATACAATTAAAAGGACAAATTTGTTTATAATTTGTAGAAGATTTTTTGTGGTAATTTCAGTTCCTTTCCTTCGTATTAAATAAACACTGTCTTCTGACATGTATCCCTCACATTTTGAGAACCTGGTTTTGTGATACAACTAATTTCCTTTAAATCCGTTCCAGCATTAAAAAGCTTGAAAAAAATTACTTGTGTGCCATGCGCGTTCTAAAAATGATCAGCTGTTTCCTCGACTACCCTTATAAGTACGAGAGCAACCCTTTGGCTCCGTCAGAATCATTTCAACTCCTGCGCGACGCGAGTTACTGCGAATCGTTGATACCGTGCGATAAAATTTGCGCTCAAATTATTTCCCACTCTTAAAATTTTCTCAGTTTCAAAAATATCAATTAAAGTTCTCTTCCATTTTCGTTGCGGACGTTTCTTTATAACTTCCGATCAGTTTGGACTGGTTCCGGTTTATGAAGTGAACGTTAAGAAAGACTTGAGATTAACGATGATGGTAGCAAGCCGGATACTAGCGGAGACTACGCGAAACGTTCCACGTTGAATAGAGATGTGAATGTTAACGGTGTAAACAAAACACTTGATATGCATTGCAAAGGGGAGCTGCTCAGAAAAGCGTTACTATTGACAACCGTCCTTAAGATTCACGCGAGGGTGATAAGACAAGGTAAAGTTTACATACGTAATTTCGACTTTACATTGTTTTTTCTTTTATTTGTTTTCTTACTAAGCAAATGACTCAAGAAGATGAGAGTCGAAGACAAAATTAGTTAGTTTCTTGGAATTAGAAATTTTCTCCAAGGTAAAAAACTCAGGAAATATTTTTAATAAGTAAATGGTTTCTTTATTTAAAAGCATACTTTTTTATTTGTGAAAATTGCAGTTATGAAACACAAATATCGTTCCTTTTGTCAAAAAATAACGAAAAATCGAGTTTCGTCTTATTTTTATATGTGATAGGTATAGACATTTTTTTAAATGTCTCAAAAAATATCTAAAATATCAAAATTTTAGACGAAAATAATAAAAAGCACAAACCTCAAAATATGACAATGAAAGTCCGAAGTATTTTTCAGTAGCAAAGTTATCTTCTTCATCGACTGAATAAAACTAAAGACTAAAGGTAAGGTAAACATTATGAATAAATTTTAACAGATCTAATAGTTCAGTGAGCCTAACTCGATATGTCAACTGTAACTGTAGAAGTTCCAAGACAAAAACAAGGCATTTCAATTAGACTAAATACTGGAGAATTAGCGATAACATCCTTGTTCCTGTTAAGATAGCTTAATAGGTAAGGTAGACATAGGTACTTTCAAAACTGTCAAACAAATAATTGCTTCTAATTTCTTTAATTAATTTAAAATTATCGATATTGGTCCTATGATTTTCAATAAGAATATGTTGGGCAACACTGACATAAGATAAATGCTCTTTGAATCTAACAGGTACAGAGCGTTTAGTTTATCCAATGTACTTCTTACTATAATCTTTACAATCATTTTCATATATCATCGACTTTTCTACAACGGAAGTCAATGTCTCGTTTTGTCTTTGCGGTTTGCATATTTCAGTTTTCTACAACACTGCGAAGTTGTCCAATCCTCTAGATTCGT